CCTCACAAGGCAATACGCGGAAACCACGTACACCTGGGGGCTGAATTTGAAATCTCTGAGTTCTATGTGGACAGGGGGCACAACCTCAAAATTTCAGCTTTCCAGCTTTTATGGTTCCTGAGTTAGCAATTTTCCCGCCAAAAATTTCACTCTTTCGTACGCGGGGCCTAGACTTGCGTGAGAGTTCGTACCGTGGTCCTGGGGTGGCAATGGGCCGAGGAAGCCAGTGACAAAATTTTGGCGCCGCAGCTTGCTTGGGTGCCGAGTTGAAATATCCGGACAGACACACACACATGCACACACACACAAACACACACACATTGCATTTGCATATAAGCAAAAACGTATAAAAATCCAAGAATTCATCAACGTGCGCCGAATCACAATTGATTGAACGGTGGTGGTGTCTTAACGGGCCCCGGTCTTCTCAGAACTGGTAACTGGTGCCTGTCGTTAGCACTGCTGCTACCAGTGGTACCGTTATTAACCATGAAGCCACTGGAATAACTTTGTACCGAACCAGTTGGAGTGATTGATATGGAACTCTCACTCTGACAATCCATTGTTTGCCGAAGATGTAAACCCTGCTCTGTGCAGGGCAACACGCACGGTGGTGGTTTTCCAAATGAAGTGCTCTGACAAGCTGAATTCGCCTGAGATACACTGAAAATTACTTTCTTAAGAATTTTTCGATTTTTAAGTCACATACTGAACTAATTTTAGTACAGTAAAACGAGAGTTCAGCTCAATGATGAATTGATACAAAGCTATAAAAACATATTTTTAGCAGCAGCTTAATCAAGAGGAATGTAACGAAAACAGGGAATCCGTAACAAATCAATTTTTTTTTTTTTTTTAAAAAAATCCGGATTTTGAAAAACACATTATTTACTACTAAACGGAGGTATGCAGCCCAAGATCGAAAGGTCTGGCATTAACTGCGCTACGAGTATTCCAGCAGCATTACCAACATGTAATCCCTATACTAATTTCCCCAAAGGCTTTGGGATAGTAGGTACAACACTTATATTGTAAGAAATGATTCAGTTGCAAGCAACACTGTTCTCCTACATGTGGGACACATAAAGCTCCTTATTCAGAGAATCCTTGCTATCCACCCCCACAGGTACAAATAGAACATGTAGCTCAACTAGCAGTTCCAACTGAAATAAACAGTGGCGTGCACCAGGGCAGCCGGTGCGATTATGCGTTTTGTGCACTTCCGTCCACCGAACGATTGCCTGCTAATCATTTTCACTGCTCTAAATTGAAATTTGAAGGGTTGCACGTGTGCAGGGAATAGTCCCCCAAAATTTTACCTTCTTAAATTTCGTGTTTCCCGCGATAATAATTTACCCGCCAAAAGTTTCATGTTCCCAGCTGGTGCTGATACCCGGAAGCGTGGGAACGTTGAATTTGTATTTGCGAGATCTTACATAGACAGGAGTCATCACCCTAAAATTTTAGCTTCCCAGATTCCGCGGTTCCCGAGATAATAGTTTATTTGCCAAAAGTTTCACGGGGCCGTATATGTCCCGCAAGTACGGGGAGGCTGAATTTGAATTTTCTGGATTGTACGTGGGTAGAGGACATACCCGTAAAATTTTAGCTTTCTAGCTTCCTGAGGTAATAATTTCCTCCGCCAAAAATTTTGCGAAGCTGTACGTGTTACCCGCGGGTACGGGAAGGCTGAATTTAAATTTGCGGGGTTACATGTGGGTGAGGAAAATTACCCTAAATTCTCGGTCTTCTAGCTTTTGTGGTGCCCGAGTTGAAAGTTGCGGGCACACACACAAACGCACAGATAACCCCGTGACAACAAGCGTTTTGTACTGCTGTTACACAATACAAAACGCATAAAAAGTGGCCCGAATAAAACTAGAGAACATCAATGCACCACTGAACACAAGAGAGAAATTTGACCTGCGTCCCACGTGAAACTCTTCTGCAGATGAGCTTCGCCTGACTGAGTGCAACCAAAGCCCTTCGAGTTTTTTTGTTCTTACTGATTCTCCCCAACTCATTCTCTGGAAAATATACAATATCCTTTAATATGGAAATGCACTGATTTGCAATATTTGGAAATGCTCTGATAACATGCGTTTATATTAAAAGTTAGAGGACAAGATTTTGCGCAGAATATCAGTCTACAGCCAGGATGAGCAACTTCCAATCCCCAAACGCACGGACCTATAATTTCACGTCAAGTTTGTCCGCAAAGGTGGTGACTGAGAAGGTGGGCTCAAGCGGGTATTAGTGGGCTCAAACCCAGCCCCAGGGTAAGCGTGGTACCCGCGTACGAGCTCGCCAAAGTTTTTTAGGATAAGTTCATAACTCGGGGATCTGAGAAGCTAGAAGTCTGAAATCTTAGGGGAATGTTCTCCGTCCAAGTGGGTATTAGTGGGCCCAAACCCAGCGCGTGGCACCCGCGTACGAGATCTCCAAAGTTTTTTTCGGGTAAGTTGATAACTCAGGTACGTGAGAAGCTAAAGGATCGTAATTTTAAGAGGATATACCCCTTACACCTAAGTTTCATTAAGCTCGAGCCCAACTCTTGGGTATGCTAGGTAAATACGCACGGGCCCGTGAAAATTTTGTTCCAGTAAATTGCTAAATCGAGTGCCAGGGAAGCTAGAAAGCTGAAATTTTAAGGAGATGTTTTCTGACAGTTCTGGCAGCTCATCTTAATTTGTTTAGCTAGAAGCATTTGCCGAAAAAGCCGGTGCCGGTAGCAATAAAAACTGCGTGGAACTATGCAAAAAACGCATCTTCGCACGGGCAGCCCGTGCGCTGGCCAATTATTATTCATAGGCCCAAGTCTGCTTTAATTTACTTTGATTTGTAGTGCTCTGTTGCCTCTTTCTCTTACTGCTGCCTCCAATTTTTGCTTCGAACTCCTGACTGGTATCCTTTTTCCACTCTCTATCCTGTACCCAGTTCCTGTTTCCAGAGCATATCTGGGAACCCGTCACTCACCATTCCCCGAACAGAGTTGTCCCTAACTACCACTCACCTCACCCAGCCACCTAGCACCAGGTAGCGCTCTAGGAACACTGCTTAGCGCTCACTGGCATTATGTCAAGCAGTGCCGGCAAGCGACGTCCCGAAACAGCATTAACAGCGAAACAACAGCGTCTCCCAATGGCGGCTGAGTGGAGCCGAATGCTAGTAATTGCTGGAAAATTACCCTGATGTAACGAGAGGGCTTGTACTTCCCAGAAGACGATAAACTGCTCAGTTGCGACGCTTTCCGTGATTCACCACCACGGCTCG